GCCTCTTCCGTTTTGTAACGCCTTTCAATTCCGATCCCCCCCCCCCCTCCCGGGGCCTCCGGTATTTAACAACCGTTTTTCATACTACCCCCTCCGAAAAAAATGTAACAAAACCACGTTTTTGTTAATTGCATTGAAATGACTAACATCAGGGGAAAACTGGAAAATTCAGATGTAGAGAGCGCTGAATGACCCGAAAGTCTGGGAAAAACTTTGAGACATGCAAAAAGTTTAGACTTTCCTTCTTTCAACAACCGTTTTTCATACCCCCTCCGAAAAAAATGTAACGAAACCGTATTTTTGTTAATTGCATTGAAATGACTAACATCAGGGGAAATCTGGAAAATTCAGATGTAGAAAGCGCTGAATGACCCCAATGTCTGGAAGAAACTTTGAGACATGCAAAAATTTTAGACTTTCCTTCTTTCGACAACCGTTTTCCATACCCCCTCCGAAAAAAATGTGACAAAACCACATTTTTGTTAATTGCATTGAAATGACTGACATCAGGGGAAAACTGGAAAATTCAGATGTAGAAAGCGCTGAATGACCCAAAAGTCTGGGAAAAACTTTGAGAACTGCAAAAATTTTAGACTCCCCTTCATTTTCGCGTGAAACCACATATCTCCTCCGCAGTTCGAACAGTCGCGCGCTTGATTTTCACATTGAGCAAGAGCACAATAAACACACTTAGAAAGTCAGTTGAGGTACACGGAAAGCCAAGATTCCCCCTCATTTTTGTGTGATACTAAATACCTACTCCGGAGTTCGAATAGTTGCGCGCTTGATTCCCGCATCAAACGATGCCAGCATTCCAACCAACTCTATACATATACGTCAGTAATTTTTGATACAGGCAAAAAGCTAAGATTCCCCTTCATTTTTGCATGATAGCTCATACCTACTCCAGAGTTTGAATAATTGCGCGCTTGATTCCCGCATGAACCGATGCGAGCACAATACCTACATTCATAATGGTTGACGTGGCGAATTTTTACGTTTCGTCGCACCGTACATTTTTAACTCATCTTCTAATCAGGCAGGAAGTTTTTAAATTATTATTTATCACCCTGTGTTATATCAAATGTCAGGGACTTTTCTTCTTTTCTTTTTTCTTGGCCAGGAAAAATTTGGAAAAAAATTCACATTTTAAATATCTGAGGCCACCCTATTTTCTGCGGGTTTTTTTTTTCTATTTCTTTTTTAAAAAACATTTTCCAATGTTCTACCACGCCTCCCGTCCCTCCCCTAAACATGTTTAACCTGCAAGAAGACACATTTTAGAAAGTACCCCGGATGCTCAAATAGCAGCGAATTAAAAAAATTAAAACCAACAGAGCTATATACTTGAATTATAGTTCACGTTTGGAATAGATACAGAAGGAAGGTCTCAGAATTTTCAAAGTGGCGTGGCGGTCATCTCAAATTTCAATTTGCCTCTCTCGAGGGATGCGAATTACAGACGTACGGAACCGCGACAAGTTTGTAATTTTAAAACAGAACGAGCAACAGTACCTACCGAGAAAAGTCTTCTTACCATTTATTTTATTTTTCTTGGGCGATTATGAGCCGAGAATTAAGACGATTGCAGAACAGCGAGGGGCCGAAGGGGCATTGTCGCCAGATCGTGATGAAAAATCAGCAATATTCCTCATTTAAACCCATGTTAATTATTTCATTTTAGTGTCACGGCAACTTTGCGAAGGGGCGAGCGCAGCTCCCGGCAAAAACCGCACGTTCTCGTAGGGTTAGCGTGACAGTTACGCGTTTTTCGCTTCGCCAGGGATAGGGCGACACGAGGAGGCGAAACAAGAGTCGAATGACATGTTAAACAGCAATTATTCGCCTCGTGTGTTTTCTGCTAACGTCTTGGAACATCGGAGCGAATATCTTTATTAGATCCCTTCCCCTCAAACGAACTCCGCTCGGTTGCCCGACCGACGAAACGAGGATCCACCCCGAAACCCGAAGGACATTCTCCGGTTCTTGCGGGGGAGTTCGACACCACCGCCGACGAGCCTGCCTACCCTAATCGTCGCCGAGGGCACGCATATCTGCAAGACCCCCGATAATAATGCGACGCTTTCGATTCGCGAATTTCAACAATTGTTCTTGTCCGCAGGCCTAGGAATAGTCCCGAAAAACTCAGTTTCAGCATCAATATGTTGGTATCATTGCTCAGAAGTTTGTATCCTGTATTTTAAGCCTTTCAGCGGGCTGATGATTGAAATTGATAGACAAAGCTGTAGATGAAGAAGACATAGGGAGTACGGAGCAATCCTATAGGTTGAAATGGGTGGTTCCTATAGACTGAAGGAGGAAATGATGGACTGTCTGTAAGGTCTTTCGTGGGTTGTCTTCAGTTAGTCTGGTTCCTACCTCCTTTGTCCATTGCAACGACCCACTTCCACCAATAGGACCCCCCCAAGTCCCTCTTGTCCTCTTTGTCTATAGCTTTGTCTATCAATTTCAATAATCGCAGCATCAGGAAATCGCTAGGGAATGTCAAACTAAGCCAGGGCTATGATACTCTGAACATAGTGCTTTGAACTTTCCTACTGTAAAACAAGAAGAAGAAAAATAAGGGGTTGCTTCCAATGTGCGGACGTTGGAGAGCGTTCACCGTGGAAACCTTCTCATTTATTATCACTAGGAAATGATTTAATTATTATTTAATTAATACTTTGTAAAAATCTGTAATCATCTGTCAAAATTTAATCTAACTCTCGTTTCTCTGGTCTGTTCCAGGAAGGAGAAGCAGACATTTTTCCGAAGCAGTTTGACTCGGTGAAGATGCACTGGCATATCTGCGAAGCGTGAAGTCTGTAGTGAAGTCGAACTTAGCCGGAGTGCAATGAACGATTTCGGTGACATCGCGCGCGTACGGGCCAGCGATGTGTCGGCGTAATTGAGCCGGAGCACCTGTGCAAGAATAAGCCGACGGGCTACCAGTGACCAGTGACGTCGGAAAATGTGATATGAGCCGTTGTCTCTTAGTTTCCCCCTTTTAAGTGGCCTTTATGTTTCGGGTTTCGGATGCGGTGTTGTTAAAGTGAGCCTTTGAAGGAGGATCGGGGGCTCTAAATGGACTCGAAACTGGGGACCCATCATGAGCTGATGGACTTTCAGACGATGCAGTCTATGGACTGGCTCTTCAAGAAGGAACGCATCTATCTCCTCGCTCAATTTTGGCAACAGGTAAGAATCCAGCTTCCTTTCTATAGAATGCCCTCCCAAGTTTTTCATTTTGCCCTCTTTGTCTTTACTGCGAACCGATTATTGAAACTGATAGACAAAGCGATAGACAAAGAAGATATAGGGAGTATAAAGCGATCTTATCGGTTGACATGATTGGTTCTTATAGCCTAAGGAAGAAAATGATGGACTGTCGGGTTTCTCGTGGGCTGCCGTTAGCTAGTCCATTACCTACCTCCTATGTCCATTGCCACCACCCGCTTCCACCAATAGGATCCCTCCAAATCCCTTTTGTCGTCTTTGTCTATAGCTTTGTCTATCAGTTTCAATAATCGGCCCGCTGCCGTGATAGCGAAGAGAGCAGTAAGTGCATGCTGGAGTGAACCTCGAGACACCTAAAAGCATGTGCTAATCATGGCTCATAGAGAATTGCACATACTGCTCTCTTCGCTATCACGGCAGTATCAGTATAGCAACCGTCCGTTTCAACCAATGGGATAGCAGGATCGCTTAATTTCTCCCGTTGACTTCGTTGTCCATAGCTTTGTCTATCAATTTCGAAAACCGGCCAGCAAGTCCAAGATTCCATGCCTAAACCTAGCGGATGTTAAACAGGCGAGCTTTGACCGCCTTCTTAATTCACCGTCTCAGATTCTGGCAACGCTGCGGAGCGCAGCGCCGGGTGCGCTACTGCTACTCGACGGCATGGGATCTCTGGGAGTGCGTTGTGCGGCCGGCGAGGTGCGGTGTCTCGCATGCGGCGCGGCGTCCGGCCGGGTAATAATTTCGATTCCATTAACCGATGCGGCATCGGGACTGCGGAGCGGCGAGGTGGGTCTGGCGTCGGCCATCGCAGCGTCGCGTCGAGTCGGCCGAGTCGGTGACGTCGCGGCGTCGATGCGTGACGCCAACGGCACGACCGAGGCGCCCCTGCCGAACCGTCCGATCGCCGCGGCGGGTCCCCGCCGAGGCGTCGCGTTTTCGCGCCTCAACTGGCCGCCGCGCCGACGCCCCTTTCCAAAATGGCCGAGCGCCATCCGCGGCCCCACGTCGATCCTAGATCTTCGCCAGGAGGAACTAGGACTCGGCCGAAACTGCCGAGCCCGCAGTAGGTTAAATCTCGTAGGGACCGTCCCCGAATTACTTGACGTTGTAGGGGGTGGGAGGTCGTGGAGTGCGTTACGCCTTTTTCTTTGTACGGTTAAAGGATAGGGATCTATGGAGGATGAAGTGGAAGAAAGTCACATGTATGTGGGATTACCTGGAATGCGTCTAATTAACGTCAAACGATGGCGCTTGTTTCTCGTCCACAACGCAACGTCAACGGTGGACGTACGACGCACTCCCGTTTTGATATCAGTCAAACGACAGCTGCTTCCACCACCGCTACGTTGCCACATTGGAGGGGGTTTACTCAGCATTCTACCGGGATAAGGAAAAATGTCGCATGAAGTTGTCAAATTTCTTCCGATAAAATTTCGTTTAGAAAGAAGATTTGAAAAATCTCCCCTCAAAACAAGAACTTGAGATTTCATGCTATTAAAATTTTTCGAATAATCGAGGGAAGAAGCATCCATAAGTTTCCCTACAAATTGACATTTTTTAGAATAAATTTGGCAAACATCTGTAGGCTCATACGGCGTTTTTCCTTGGCTTGGGAGTATTGATGATTTTATGAGTGTGTGAATATCGAAAAGGAAGCCGAACTTCAGACAGTTGTTCTTTCGACCATGCTCAGAGCATATGACACCCCAATGTGACATGTGATAATTATTGTCGCGGGTGGATGAGTAATGTCGATTAATGGAGAGTTCGACTTGTTCGGTGTTTACTCATCAATACATTTGAGGAATTAAATAGAGCCCACTTCCCCCTTTATCAAAAATTGATGACGTTTGATTAAACTGCAAACAATCGCGAAGAAATATTGACGATTCAGGCCTTCGATACCCAGTCGCGGAACAAGTATTGAAAGCCGTATCGTTTCCTTTCGCTGATGAGTCTCAAAAAATGTATGCCTCGGTTTTTGACGTCACTTTTTTTTGGTCTGCTTGCGATATATCGATTGATCGGACATTTTTACCACGCCTAGTACTCAGTCCATATGTTTTTTCCATACATTGGGCCCTCACTGGAAAAAAAGTAGCTTGGATCTGGAGTCCAGACTCTTAAAAACATTGACAAGAAAAAAATACTCTTGATTCAATCCGACTTTTTCTTGAATCGAAGAGCCAAGCCTCTTCATTCAGGCAAATTTCCTTTTATTTCAAGCAGAAAATTCGATTGAATCAAGAGTATTTTTTCCTGTCAATGTTTTTAAAAGTCTGGACTCTAGATCCAAGCGACTTTTTTCCAGTGCTGATGTCTTCTTGAAAGCTTTAAACTCGCACAATATTCAGAAAGCGCGGCAAAGTTTTTCCGTACACACAGGTTTAAGATGGCAACTACTCTAATTTCTGTGTAGCTACCGTACCTGCTCACATACGACGAGGAAAGTATGACCAAAAAACTCCGGGACTCTCGTTCTACTCCTCGTCCTCTCCAAAAATTTTCCTCCTCTATTCGCACATCATTATCCATTATCCTCACCTCGGACCCGCTCGGAAGGCAAATTAGTCGCGAAACGGCAAACACGATATCGATTTTTTACTGCCCCCTCGTTTCCCCCTCCCTCGTCGCCGGCCCTCTTTTTGGCGTGTGTTTTTGGAGAGCCGATATTATTAAAGTTCAGAAAGCAGATTCGAAAAGTTTTTTCTCGTTCCCTTGCGAGCCTGTGCGGCTTTCAGACAGCCATCTGTTGTTTGATTGATTAGAAAAAAAGGAAAAAACCCAATCTATGTTTTATTTCTGTGGCTGTGCCGATTCGACGAGCCGATTTTTCCGAGAATCCGCCGTGATCGAGCGGGGTATTGAACGCCGCTTGACGCGCACGGGAGGCCACGCAAAGGTTGCTCCAGCATGTTCGCGGCCATGACCATCGAGGGATGCAGCCTTCAAAAGTCGTGGATCCACGCATTATTTCTTAATATCACAACAGCACCGAGACAAATTTCTATTCCAGCCAAAACGAAAGTCTATCCAGATATTTCTTGCAAATTATTTACCTTTGAATCGCCATGAATTCTCTCTGAGTAACCTCAAGCGGATCTGTCGCACTCAAGAAATACTGTTCATAAACTGCGTAACGCCAAATGTCAGCTTTTTGGAAGCCCCTCCCCTCGAGACGCTGTTGTGACGTGGGTCCTTATCCTTTCACACGTCAAAAAATTGCGTCACGCTCTTTGACCGAAACCCCTCCCCTCCTCCTCCTATTGCCAAGGCGAGAATGATCAATTTATTGACATTTCCCTATCTGAAGCCATGGCAAAGAATCGATTATTAAGGTGCTCGTTGCGAGCTCCCTCTGTATTGATCCTTTGTCATAGGTTTAAATTGCAGATCAATTGGTACATCGCAAAGCACGCCTTGTCTCCTTACAGCGTTCTGTATTTATTACGGACTCCTCCAATAATCATGTTGAACACATCGTAAATGTCCAAAATACACTCTGAAACTCACAATCCGCGTTGTCCGTGACACGCATTTTGTGACGTGGCGAATCCTTCCGGATAAAAACCAATTTTTTATGGGATCAATGCATGATATTTTTTGATTATTCGCTTTTTCGTTGACGAATCAATGTGAAGTGTCCAAAAATTTCATGCACACATTTTCTCTAAAATCAATAATTTGTTAGTGGAAATGTTGCAGAGTCTGAATGTTCATATAGCGTTTTTACTGAGAACGGCAGTGGCGCATGGCGCGCGACGCAGAGAACCTGAGGTTGAGTTAAAAGCGTGGCCAATGAGCCAAGGAACTGCCCCCCCCCCCTGGCGCCTCCTGTCACCCCCCTCCCCGGATCGACGGGAATCGATCGATTACCTCTGTAAATCAATACCGGGCTGCGATTGGTCGATCGATCCCGGCCCAACCGGTCGGCGAGGTTTCCACGACCGCTTCGACTAGATAAAATCAGTGTACGCGAGACTGAGCCTAGTTGTCGGCTCTCTCGTTAAATTCGAAATATTACGATGCTTTTCTTCACGGGGGGTTTCGATCGCACGGGCCCGACCGATTTCATGCCGATCGTTGACGAGTAAAGGGGAAAACGGTGAACGCGAACGAGACTTTTCTTTCATATTCGTCACCGGCCGCGCATTGTCATCGCCCGCAGCGGCACATTTGGACCGTGCACGCTTTTAAATGTTGGAAAAGGTCAATTTGCACTTAAAAAACTTTAATGACGATCAAACGTAATTCTCTCCGCCGAGCGATGCATGCGTGATTTAGATCGAATTACGAACAAAGTTCTCTGAAAAATTGTCAGAGAAATATTTGCACAAATTTTTCCGAACACTCGTGATGTGTAGCAATAATTGTAGCATGGCACAATGGTATCTAGTGCCTTAACTCAAATCGCATTCACCAAAAGTTTGGTAAATTCTACCAGATGTCTAAGTATCCTCACCCTTAAGTATATCACTGTGCCAAAAATCAAGTACACTGATAAATATATTTGTGCCCTTGTGTTACTTTTAATTAATATAGGACGTGAAACACAAACCAACACAAATTTTGTGTTGATGTCGTGTTGACTTTGGTACAGTTTGCGGTGAATTCAACGTAGAAAACAATGGAGGGACTGGGAAAATGCATTCCTCCGATTTCGACGTTGGTATCCACCACTCGTTTTTTATTAGATTTCTTCAAGAAAACTAGCTGACATTTTCCTCTGAAATTGTCGACCGAATAGGTAAGGCTAGGGTTATTTCATGTTTTACCTCCCGTATGAACCAAACTTTTTCGTCGAAATTTCGCTCTAAGTACAATAGAATTTTCCACACCGCCAGTAAAGTTTACCGTACTTTTGTTCAGTACAACCTTAAATATTAGTTATTCTTTTTCGTCTAAGGGTACGCAGGATAGATTGACTAACTTGCGTAGATTCGCCAACGTCGTTCCCG